ACCTGACAAATAAAGGCTAGGCCGGAATACTAGTAGCACAACAGTGAATAAACTGAAGAAATAAAAGTTATCAATTACAGTAAAGCGTTTTCCTTGTCAAGTGATGGACTTGAATAACGAATAGTAATTAGGAGACAAAATTATGTCCATGACCATGAGTGAGTGAGTGAGTATTGTTTTACGCCGCTTTTAGCAATATTCGAGCAATATCACGGCGGGGGACACCAGAAATGGGCTTCAGACATTGTACCCATGTCGGGAATCGAACCCGGGTCTTCGGCGTGACGAGCGAACGCTTTAACATCTAGGCTACCCGACCGCCCTTCCATGACCATGATCATAACTACATTATTTACAATTCTTTACAGTAGCGGCCATTCCAGAGAAATGATTTCACATAGACGCGTAGTCTTACCAAACATCTCCAATCTGCCTTGTGCCCGCAGGGGTTCCTGGTCATCATTGGACTATAGAGCATCGGGTGGTCAGGCTCGGTGACTGGTTGATTGTCATCATATACCCACGGCGCGGGACGTTACCAAAAATATTAACTATTGGATTCTCTGGGCAAGGCTCGATTGTTTAAAGATCACTGTGATATAGCTGGAATATTGTTGCATAAATAACAAACAAACAATCATTCGTAACAGAATAATTCACAACCATCTGTTATAGTTTGAAAAACAAATGTATACTATTGTCAGCATTTTACATTTCACTGTGTATTCATTTATTTTAATGCTTTGGAGCCCATTTCTGGTGTCCCCCGCCGTGATATTGCTGGAATATTGCGAAAAGCCTCGTAAAACCATACTCACTAACTCTTCACTCTTTTTACGTCACAGAGAGGTCATTAAACATACTTCTCCAATACGTTGCTGGTCGTCCTCAACAAAAGGACATGTAGGCAAGAAGTAAGTATGCCCATGGGTACCAACGGTGATCTATTTCTTTGTGCTGAACAATTGGACTTAAGTTTACCATAAGCTTCAGGTATATCGATTATCAAATAACGTTCAATAGTCATCAATGAGAAAAGTCCATTCACTGATTTTACTCCTAATCTAGACATAAAAGAGACCAGTGAAACCACCTCATCTGCTTCATATTTTGATCTATGCCACTAGATTTTCGAATGGTCATCGTAACTCCTATGTGTAGCAATATGTTCCAGTAGCTCCGGCCTTTGGTGTTCCCATTTCAAACTTTTGAGGTACAATCGAGCATGCTCTTTCTATGAAGAGGGGGCACGGGTGGCCCAGTCGTCTTATGCGCCGCGATTCGTTGTGCAGAGTTGCGTAGCTGGGGCACGCCAGAAACCTATGATTGTGGGTTCGAATCCCGGTTCGCCCCAATTATGTTTCTAGGTTTGTCAGCACCGTACCCGTGCTCGTAGGTTTCACCGAAATGGTTTACGTCTGAGACCTGCATCACTTCGGGCTTTCCTCCCACATTAAGCTGACACGCCGTGATATAACTGGAATAATGTTAAAAGCATTACTACAAAGTTAAAACCCAACTCACTCCCTCACTCTTTCTATGAAGATTTCGAAGAGCGCCATACAACTCCTGCTCAGGAGTTACTTGATCAAGTTACAACTTTTAAGGCCTTATTTTGTTTGTTTGTTCGTTTGTGGTCTTACGCCGCACTCAGCAATATTCCAGCTATATGACGGCGGTCTGTAAATAATCGAGTCTGGACCAGACAATCCAGTGATTGACATCATGAGCATCGATACACGCAATTGGGATACGATGACATGCATCAACCTGAGCACCCGATCCCGTTATTCGCCTTTTACGTCAAGCATAGTCGCCTTTTACGTCAAGCATGACTTGCTGAAGACGTATTCTACTCCGGCTCTTCACGAGTCTCAAGGCCTCAGTAAAGCTTCAAAACGTTTTATGGCAGACATGTAGAGGACATTTCCAAATCTGACGCATCAGCGCCCGAAATGATTGTCGATGCACTTCTATATTTTGACTTGTAGCAGATATTGCTCCCGTGGTTTTTCAGGTGAACAATTGAATTTTGCATGTGTTTGTGACGAAAGTGTTTAATTACTGGATTATCTTTCATAACTACAGTTACGTTATTATTTACTTCCAGCACAACAACATCGCAGTACCATGTAGCAAAGCCATCATCTCAGACAAAATCTCTAAATCGGCAAGAAGATAGAATAAAACTGTGCACTGATTTATCGTTCATCAACATAGAAAACACGCATACACTGAAGAGACATACATGAATGAATGGCCGAGTAAAATCCTAATGCGGATCGTTTCTGTTGTTATGCGATTGTAAACGCGCAGGTATTCGCATACTGAACAAATGATGAGTTTAATTCCCCCGTGGGGATTTCGGGTTAGAATAGATCTCCAACAACATGTGTGTCGTTCGAAGCGACGAATTGGATCGGGTAGTGAGGTTCGTTTACATGGTTGATTGGGTGTAGTTGTACAACGACGTCATGGGACATTGCTCATACCGATCACTTGTTCCGGCTTAATTGTCTTTTAATCACGGACGAAATACGGATGGATTACTGCTGAGATTGATTTTCTATAACAAAAAGCAATAGCTTATTACAGAACGGCGGTTTCCAGCTGTTACACTTCAAAGATATTTATATATAATCACCGGAAAAATATAGTACCATTTGCTTAATATATGAAGAATTACTCATGTTCAAGACATATTAGATTGGTTCGACGCACAAACGAACATTCTGGTATTTGTGTGAATCGACGCTCATGAACGCATCACATGGGACGTCATAGATCTATGATTCGAGATGCACCATTTGTCTCGTGCAGGATTAGCGTATTAAGTTTGGAAATCACGTGCAGCGTATCGGGATAAGAATAAAGACACTGTAGTAACACTGGACTAACTGTTAGTTATGTCATTAAGTGATACACATTGGAAACATCTATTCTTAACGTACATACTTCTCTATATGTTTTTATGGTTATCGTTTCTATTGGCGTTGAGTATAAATATGACATTTACGATACGAAAATACAGTCGGCTAATAGTCTCTTGTGTATAAATTTAATCTTTCATATGATCTCTTTCCAAAAAATTTACGATTTTTCTCGTCCCATCAAAGAAACTTGAGAGTTCGGGTTTATTAACAGACTGAGTAGTTCTTGCTAGATTACCCTCATTTGCATATTTATTGAATCGTGACAATTATATCTGATTGGTTTATCGCATCGACAACACTATCCATTTTGTAATAATAATATATAACTTTATAGTAAACAGATAACACGATCCATTTTATTATAATAATATATAACTTTATTTTAAGCAGATAACATTATTCGTTTTATGATATTGACATATAACGATATAGTAAGCAGATAACTCTATCCATTTATAATATCAACATGTTACTTTATACTAATCAGATAACACATTTCATTTTATGATAATATTATGTACGATTGTAGTAAGCAGACCATTACTATTTGAAATATAAGTATCCCATGTTTGCCGTAAACGGCGACAATGCTTGTCGTAAGAGGCGACTAACGGGATCGGGTGGTCAGGCTCGCTGACATAGTTCATGCGTGCTATCGTATCCTAATTGGGTGACTCGATGCTCATGATGTCAATGACTTGATTGTCTGGTCCAGACTCGATTATTTATAGACCGCCGTCATATAGCTGGAATATTGCTGAGTGCGGCGTTAAACAACAAACAAACGAACAAACAAATAATAACTAACTATTAACAACTAACACGTATGACTTACACAAGAGATTGCAACTGTAGAGGCATATTTATTATTAATCAATCAATATCCAGAAAAAGCATTAACCAAATTTGGGCTCTATTGAGGTCGCCATTAATGTGTTTAACGTGTGTACCAAGTGACACCCTCGTGACGTTCAAACACAATTATTGTGTGATGTACCAACAGAGAATAACGAACCAGTACAATGTACTTGGAAGGCCTACAATCAACACAGTGCATCGAAAGTTTCATTAGACGATGAATAGACGATTAGGTGAGTTTGGTTAATCGAGCTTTGAACAGTATTTCAGTTATATCAAAGCGTGTCAGCTTGATGTGGGGGAAAGCCCAAAGTGAAGCAGGTCTATGACGTTTACCACTTTGGTGATACCCACAAGCAAAGATATGGTGCTGACAGACCTAGAACCATAATTAGAACCCCAATATCATAGTGTTCTGGTATGCACGGACATCGCGAAATGCGTCGCATAAGACGACTGGACCACACACACACACACACGCGCGCGCACACACACACACACACACACACACACACACACACACACATACCACCACCACCACCACCACCACCACCACCCAATTACCTTGCAATGTGCCATTACTTTAGGATCAGCTGTCAACAGGGCCCATCAGCGCGTCCAGAGCGACATATTCAGTCAGTCAGTTAATTGGGTTTACGTCACTTCAAACACTATTCCCGTTATATCACAGTATATCTGCGCGTCATATTTAGCAATATATGTTGTTGTTGAACGCTAGACGGCGGCGTGTAAATACCCGGCGGCCAGACAAACCAGAGATTGATACTATGAGCAACTTCTCAAAAGCCATCTAGCCTGACCGTAAGTCGCCACGTAACACCGGCATAGTGTGTTCTAGGGCGCCTATTGCCATTACCCCTGACCACTAGAATGTGTCCTTTCCGTAAACAGGAAATCATGTCCTAAAACCAATACAAGGCCGGTTTGCTGGTTGACTTAAGCTTAGGTTCCACTCGCTAATGCTTATTATTTCTACATTGTATCAATCCTTATGCAGGTGATGATAATACGTAGTTACAAACATATTTAGTAGAACCTACAGGATAATACGATTTACAAAGCCGATTAACTAATACTTTCCTCTGGGAGCCTTATACTCCATGCTTCATTATGTACAAAAAGTTCTGAGATACAATAATCAGTCCATAAACCTAAATCCTTTTGCTGTGAAACATTATGATTCGTTTCAGTCTTTTCTGAACCATACACATGGTAGGAACGGAGCTTCGCTAAGGCATTGGCATATGTAACGTTCTGTGGAAGTTCACTGAAATGGCGAACGTAGGAATTGTCATCCTTGTGGGCATGTTGGGTAAGTGGCCCCTCTGAGAATGTTTGTTTGTTTATTTGTTGTTTAACGCCACACTCAACAATATTCCAGCTATACTAGCCACATAAAGAAACTGTGCACGGAGAAAATATATTCTGGATTGAAATACAACACAGCAAGAACAAAATGATGCAGTCGCTGTAGCAGCTGAATGATCGGACCATCAGAAAATGTCAACGGGACCTGAACAACATCTGTTACGATGACGTCAGAAGATCAAAATGGAGTAGGGGGTCAAACGACAAAGTCACAAAGTCAATAACGGGTATGACCACCCTGTGCGTGAATCACAGCAGTGCATCGGCGACGCATGGAGTCCACCAAATGGGCATGGAAGGCCTGGGGAATGGCCTGCCATATTCTCCTCAAATCCTGTGCCAAGTCACGGGCGTTATCTGGAGGATGTGGAAGACGACGCAGACGGCGCTCCATTTCATCCCACACATGCTCTATTGGGGAGAGATCTGGAGAAATTGCAGGCCATGGCAGTAACATGACATTGTTATGGTGAAGGAAATCCATTGCGACCCTAGCCGTGTGAGGACGAGCGTTGTCCTGTTGAAATGTCAATCCCAGGCCATGACGTTGCAGGAAAGGAATGACCACAGGCCTCAGAATCTGATCTCTGTAGCCAACACCGGTGAGATTGCCCTGAACAACCACCAAAGGGGTTCGGTGCCGTGCTGTTATCCCACCCCAAATCATCACAGAGACACCTCCAAAACGATTCCTCTCCACAATACAGTTGCGTGCATAACGTTCTCCCAAACGCCGGTAGACACGTTGGCGCCCGTCACTGTGGGAAATGTTGAACCTCGATTCATCTGTAAAGACAACATTTCTCCACCATATTCGAGGTTGGCGAACATGATTTCGACACCATCTTAGACGGTTGACTCGATGACGGTGTGTCAGGATGGGACGTATGGCAGGGCGTCGTGGTCGAATCCCGTACTGACGTAAACGATTCCTGACAGTGTTGGGATGGATACGGCGCAGTCCAGGAATTGTCTGGGACGTCGTTACTGCCGTTTGGAACCTGTGTCGGAGATGTGTAACTCGAATCCATCTGTCCTGTCTTGGCGTCGTTACTCGGGGACGTCCTGAACGTGGGTGGTCGGCAACGTCATTTGTGTTCTGATAACGCCTCACCAATGCCGATATCGTGTTACGATGGCATTGGAAAAGTGTTGCCACCTGTTGTTGCCTTATTCCCGCTCGGATCATTCCAATGGCTTCATGACGCTGTGCAGCTGTCAATCTTGGCATGATTTGCTTGTGATATGCTTGCGTCTGCGCCTGAGAAGTTTTGAATTTTTGAATGACCACAGATCATGCTTCCAAAGTGACAGCGAATTTCGAGTTGCACATGCTGTGTACAGCTGCACAGGATACACGTGCAGTAACACATTGCACGTCCATAGGCCCCCATCAATGACGTCATATCGCATGGCACGTGCATGAGCGTTTGAATGTCTCCAATAATTGCTGTGTTCAAACCTATCTTTCATATATGGACGGTGTGCCCTTATATCTATATTTTCTCCGTGCACAGTTTCTTTATGAGTCTGAACTAGACAATCCAGTGACTGACAAAAGGAGCATCGATCCACGCAGTTGGGATACGATGACATCAACCAAGTCAGCGAGCCTGACCACCCGATTTCGTTAGTCACCTCTTACAAGCATAGTCGCCTCTTATGACAAGCATGGGTTGCTGAAGGTCAGTTCTAACCCAGATCTTCACGGGTCTCTGAGCATGTACGTCTGTTAACAGACAAACTTCCGTTCCTCTCTCTATTACCTTGTTGTGTGTTGAATAATTTGCGACAAAAATGTTCCATAACCATAAGAAATTCCTACTAAAAGCAGAGTTCATTGTACACCAGATTAACTTTCGACTGTTTTTTACGGTGGCCCATAAGGGACATGGAGTCTGTGTTTCCGCATTTTGATATTTCACTTACATTTATCGTAACCTTTTGCAAATTAACACTATTTGTCTTACAAATATGTGATAAATCATGTGTAAAGAAGATATTGAATCGCTGAAAAACGAAACGAAAATGTCAAAAACTAAAATGAAAATGTCAAAAACACAAAACGAAAAATTAATGTCAAAAACTAAAATGAAAATACAGAAAACTATTTTCACCGCGGTGTAAATATTATCACCGCGGTGGAAATAGTTTTCACCGCGGTGGAAATAGTTTTCTGTGTATTCATTTTAGTTTTTGACATTTTCGTTTTGTGTTTTTGACATTTTCATTTTAGTTTTTGACCTTTTCGTTTTGGTTTTTGACATTTCAATTTTAGTTTTTGACATTTTCACTTCACATTACAGCGACTCAAAAGCTACTTAAAAGTACATTTTCTATGTTTTCGGATGTTTTTATACATGATTTATCACATATTTGTATGGCAGATTGTGTTAATTTGCAAAAGGTTAAGATAAAAGTAAGTGAAATATCAAAATATTGAAAAACAGACTCCATGTCCCTTATGGGCCACCGTAGTTTTTACCTTTTGAATACGACGCTTCGGTACAGATGAAGAACGTTTATCAAGTAATCAACATCCTTCATCTCTAGGCTTTCATCACCTTTTCAGCGTCTATATAATTAAAGATATGTTGATAAAGTTACAGAGGCATGCACACTTTCATCTGCGCCCTTTTAAAGAGAGTATAATGAGTCTATTTGTGCACAGTTGTTTATGAAGTCTCGAAATGATTGACGTTAAAAGCACGCCTCGGGGCAATGCAACTTGTCAAAGATCACAATACAGAATGTATTATATGTTATCGTGGCATGATCCATACCTTGGATATTCAACGTAGGTTTACACAGTAAACTATGCATGGAAGTCGATTCGGTCAGGTTAACATGATGTACAGTACTGCTGCGTTCCTGGATCGTTAGAAATAAATGTGGTGGAATAAATGCGGCAAAACGTATTCCATAATCATAAGAAATTTCTGCTAAAAGCAGAGTCAATTATACGATTCCGACTGTATAGTGATTCAGAAACATGCTTACGATGCACCCGGACTCGCACAATTATAGCAGAAAGTTCCTATTATTATGGAAAGGGAGGTGTTGCTTGTTTAAACATGTCGCCGGGATAAGGTTGGAATATTGCTAATTTCGCAACAGAATGTTCATTAAGCAACTTTGGCTTATCAACCACCCCATCATTTATTTTTGAATCTGGACGGCAAAAGAAGTCGTCAATGTGTTGCAGCATACAGAGGAAATTGTCACACCTTCAGTAATCTATGTATCTGTGTTTATTCTTTTTTCGCACAGTGACCTGTGTCCATGGCAACCAATCAGCACTGTTGGGCAATCTGTTTGCCAATTATATCAGCGACGTACGGCCAATCTGTGGAGCGAACGTTCCAATAGAGGTGAAAGTCGGCCTGGCTATCCGACAGGTCATCGAACTGGTGAGAGTCCCATCATATGCGTCAAACGTTTCAAAAATATGTATTTATGTCAGATTAAACTTTATTATTGCACTTATATAGCGACGCGCATTCATGTGTGTGGCTGCTTTTGTACTAGTCTGGACTGATGTCGATTTACAGTGCCAGCCCACTGAGATACCATACCGCAGTTTAGCATGAATACTCCATTCAGTCACAGTATACTGACTCCGAGCCGACCAGTCCTTGTTCTAGCCCCTAATGAAGAGCGGGTAACAACAAGAACCATCTTTGAACGTCTTTTGGTATGACGCGACCGGGGATCGAACTCCGCACCTTCCGCTGTCCGGGCGGACGCCCTTCCACTTGACCACGAAGGAGGAATTAAAAATGTGAAGAAGGATGGACAAAATTTAGAGAACAATAGCACACGAAATAATAGGACAGCGGACAATAGGTTCAACTAAAGGTTACATATCTACCTCATACTGTTCTATGTTATGTTTCTGGATTTGTCAGTATGGGTTGCACCAAAGTGTGAAAACGTCAACATTATTATTTCAGGTTTTCCTCCTACATGGAGCTAACATAGTAGCTAAGACATTCATATACATCAGGTGTAGCGCATTGTACCATTCGACCAGGAATACTGTGTGAGGCTCAAAACGTTTTGATATCCCCTCGTAAATGAGAACTACTGCTCACAGCGACGTTAAACTAAACTCACTTGCTCATTCATCAGCGAGTGCTGACACTTTAATCCCAAAAGTAAAGATCAAGGTGCCAATGAATCACGTCATCCACAGCGCACAAACAAGCATACACGAATACGTGAACATACCGTGTATAACCACCAGTTTCTCTTCCCAGCAAGGGGCGGTCGGGTAGCCTTGTGGTTAAAGCGTTCGCTCGTCACGCCGAAGACCCGGGTTCGATTCCCGACATGGGTACAATGTGTGAAGCCCATTTGTGGTGTCCCCCGCCGTGATATTGCTGGAATATTGCTAAAAGCGGCGTAAAACCATACTCACTCACTCACTCACTCACTCTTCCCAGCAATCCTTCAGCCAAACAAATTGGCGATACATGAACCTTACAATGGAAATTATCGCTAATATGTTAACATGTTAAGTTAACAATTTATATTTCTGTTCTTTTCCAGGATGAACCCAACCAAATAGTGACTGTCAACGCCTGGATTCGATTGGTAGGTGCTGCTGAACCCTTTACATAATCAATGACATTATTAAAAAGGTTTCATAGGTGAAACAAGTCCCTTTTCACCTGTCCCGACAATATCTTATTGCAATTGCCACCATTGTCCCAGATTACATAAGCGTCACACGAAACGACGCTAAAGATGGTACTTGTTGTACTGGTGCCAACACACGTGCATGCACATCGCAATGTAAATGCAATAGTTTTGAACACGACGTTGAACCCAATTTAACCTCAACTCACCACCTAGATTGTTGTAGCTTCCATATACATGTTCTGGTCACAATTGCGTGTGAAATTACAAGTTTTATGGTGATGAATGTTTTCAAGAGTATTTCACTTTGATATAGCGATGTGCATGCACGTGTGTGTGTGTGTGTGTGTGTGTGTGTGTGTGTGTGTGTGTGTGTGTGTGTGTGTGTGTGTGTGTGTCTGTCCGTCTGTCTGTTTGTTCTGATGCGGACATATGACAGTTATATAGTGCTAGCCTACATATTTGCCACGCTTCAGTTGACATGGATGCCCCGCTCAGGTACTTTATACTGACTTTGAGAAGGCAGAAGAGTACAGAAGTTTTAACGTATTTTGGTATGACGCTGCAGAGGATCGAACCACCGGCTTCCGCTCTTTGGGCAAACACGCTAGCCACCTGACCACAGAGGCGGTACACTCTAGGTGATTGGATGTTAACAATATGATTGGATGTTCACAATATGCTCTCTAAAATAACCCATGAAAAACATTGGCGTTAGGGGAGGAAAGTCTTTGCTGAACATAATACGTTTTTGTGCCTCACGCTTTTATGGGGTGGGGTGATTTACCGTTCTAACGTTAATTTGGTTTTGTTAAGATATTTGCTTGAGAGGTTGTTGCGGTGTTTTATTGGCAGTGTTTGCATTGGAATATTACCGGGTTCATATTCTCTGTACGACAGTGAGAGCAGTGACCTGTACGATGCTTCCAAAGTTTGTGTGCACTGTTATCCAAATATGCGTGTCTCCTCTTTAGCCAGTTTTAGCACTGTCCGTTTGATTGTTTCGCGAACACCTGGTATCATCCATATTTGATAGTTATTCATAAACACATGATTATTGTATAATCGGAATCGTACAATGGACTCTGCATTCAAAAAACTTTCTTTTGATGATGGAAAGAATTTGTCGAATTATATAAAGTGTAACTGTGTTTATAGGTACTCTGTGATTCAGCAGCTTCATCGGCTTCTCCTTTTCCAAATATTCCTATTTGGGCTTGAGTGAGTGAGTGAGTTGGGTTTAACGCCGCTTTTCCGCCGCCGTATTCCAGTTATATCACAGCGTGTCAACTTAATGTGGGAGGAAAGCCCGAAGTGATGCAGGTCTCAGACATTTACCACTTCGGTGAAACCCACGAGCACGGGTATGGTGCTGACAAACCTAGAAATATAATCGGGGAGAACCGGCATTCGAACCCACAACCATATGTTTCTGGCGTGCCCAAGGGACGCAACTCTGCACAGCGAATCGCGGCGCCTTAGACGACTGGGCCACCCGTGCCCCCCTATTTGGGCTGGAACACGAGCCAACTTGACATCATTATCCTGTATTTTGTATTGTATCTAGAGCTGAAAGTATTTTGCCTGTAAGATACCTCTTTATATGGGAGATCGTTTTGAGTGTTTGTATGCTACAGAGAACATCATTAAGTATTACAGTTTGTTTTTAGTGTAATGTACAGGGCGATGCAGATAGCCATCGGCTCCGCCGTGAGGATTGATTAACCATCATAATCCTTATGAGGTTTGATGTATTAGGATTTGAGTAGTTGGTTCCTAAGCATACTTTGTCAGCTACTAGCTTGTGTTCAGGAACCATTTGGTGCCCAATGTATTGTTGGGAGATGGAAACCCATTTTTGCTTGTGAAGTTAATACGATTCATGTTTGTGACTGAAATAGGTAGCTGGAGTATGGGGCCTTTTGACCGGAAGTGTACTACTCTAATGCCTAGTTTGTATATTTGATTGAAGCTAACGCCTGATTGTTGACCTTACGTTTAGCTACTTTGATGAACTTTTCGATACGTGGACCTAGGTTTTGCTGATTATATCTAAGTCGTTGCATCAGTGTATTGCGGCCAGTAATTTGAAGAGAACTGGTCCATCCGAGGGAAAGAGGGGCGGTGGGGTAGCCTAGTTGTTAAAGCATTCGCTCGTCACGTCGAAGATCCGGCTTCGATTTCCAACATGAGTACAATGTGTGAAGCCCATTTCTGATGTACCCCGACGCGATATTGCTGGAAGATTGCCAAAAAGCGGTGTAAATCCATATTCACTCACTCACTCACTCACTCACTCACTCACTCACTAGAGGTGAAGACCTCCAGTTAGGGCTCAAACCGCCAGTAAAGGGGTGCCTCTGGTAGTGCCTAGTGCTATATTGATTGACTGGTATTGAATGAGGGTTGTTTTAGTTTGTTATATTGATTGTGAAACACTGTTGATCCATAATTTCAGACTTACACCGAATACTGTTAATCTAATCAATCATTTTATCTTATCTTATCTCGGGTATATCGATGATCTGATATCGTGTGGTGAAACGGCCATTTTGACGTCTTGTACGCGATGTACATGTATTACGACGCACTGTCATTGTGACCGACTCACTGGGTTAATTCTTAACGTGCCTTACCTTATATGAATACGTTTGTTGTAAACAAGCTACAAAACAAGTCACTGAAGAACGTTGCGAGCATACACAGGGTCATGCCACATCTCTGAGTAACTACTTCATTCCTCGATACAGCTGGTTGGTGTATGTCTGTCAGTGTAAATATGAATTCACAATTACTAAATGAGGTTGTTAATAGATCTACATACCTGGAGGTAAAATGATAGTCACATATTAAATCATAAGAATTGACTTTCACTTTATGTGAGTTCATTGGAGTGTGAGCCTTCATTGTGAGGGCCAAACATTGTATGAACGTGGTCGCATGGCTCACACTACGATAAACTCACATCAAGTGAAGGTCATTTCTTAATTATTTATTAAAATAACGAGCTTCTGTTGCCTTTCTGGTATTCCACATCAATATTTCCACCAGATTACAGTAACTGTAATGTACCTGTTACATAATTGTATTTCCATATGAGACCGTCTGTTTGTGTTGTAGAAGTGGTTCGACTGTCAGATGACATGGAACGCCACTGAATATGGGGGCATCTCACAGCTTATCCTCCCCTATGAGAAATTATGGACACCGGATATTACCCTATTTGACAAGTGAGCTGCATGTAGTATGTTTGCTTTAATATAATTTAACTATATGGAAACTTATCCTTGTACCTTAATGATTCAGGTTACCTTTCATACGTGTATAAATACAGATTCACAACAATCACACTACATTATCTGTAAGGCTCTGCGGATTTTTCCTGAAAAAGATACTTTATTGCATAGTGCTGGTGAAAAACTTGTTGGCCTCAAGGACAACCGCAATGTCGTCTCTTCAGACGGTTCTGTCATCTACAACTTCCCCACCATCATACAAAGCCTCTGCAAAGTCGACGTCACCTACTTCCCCTTCGACACTCAAACGTGTGCTCTCAAGTTCAGCTCTTGGGCCTACCATGGACTCCAGCTCAATGTTACCAACAAGGCCAGCGCCGGGGACATGTCCAGTTTCAAAGTCAACAGCGAGTGGCACCTGGTGAGTGTTCCCGTTGAACGACATGTAGAGTACTACGGTTGCTGCCCAGAACCTTATCCTGATGTAACCTTCTACGTCATTCTGAAGCGCAAGAGTATCTACTACGTAGTGAACCTTCTGTTTCCCTGTATACTGATCTCCGCTGTGGGTATTCTTGGCTTCCTGCTGCCTCCAGACGCCGGGGAGAAGGTGTCGCTGGAGATCACCGTGTTGCTGTCTCTATCAGTGTTCATGCTAGTTGTGTCTGACACCTTACCGCCAACGTCGGAAACCTTTCCGTTTATAGGTACGTGCATAAACCGAAGTTCGTTCTTACGTTATTCATAACTTTGAAATCATGTGTGTTAAATTTGTAAAATCATTCCTGACGGGGATAATATAAAACAAACGACACCATGAATGAATATTATGTTCAACTGGACGATCTGAGAGTTGGACATGATCCAACTTTAATACCAATTTAAGACTTTATAAATGTAAGGATGACTCGATAACCTGCTTTTACGTTGGAGATGCAGCCAATCCTCATGACCCTGTAATACCCTTATGAGTCCAGTACACGCCCTTGTCCCCCACAAGAATCTACCTGACAAACCCATACCAGCTGACATCCTCAGTGGTTTTCCTATGTAACGCCTCTGCCCTCCACAGGAATCTACTTCTGTCTCTCCCTGATGCTGGTGACCATCTCTACGATCCTCACTGTGTTCGTTCTGAACGTACACTTCAAAGGTCAACATGGCATCGCTGTGCCTCGATGGGTGAGGAGTCTGGTTCTTGGGATGCTTGCGCAGCTCCTTTGTGTCAGGAAAGAAACGCCAGTCCACCCAATCAAGACACCGATCCGCGATGACAGTGACCTTCACGTCCAAGACTATATGGTGAGAAAGGTCAAGCCGATAGTTACAATAACATTAACTGTAACTTTTATTTGTAACATTAAACTGGTACCTCTCCTATTACAGACAAAATACTTTCACCGGTTTATGTCGCTGGGACCAGATGCAATATGATTTAACTTTGAAGGTTATACTTTAATAATCAAATACGTTTTTCATCAAAGTCTTTATAAGACCTTCGCCTCGATGGTCATGTGGTAATTGTCACGTGTTCCAGTAAAGACACTTTCTACTTCACGTTAAAAACATTCTACTTCACTTTAAAGAGACACATCTAAGTGCGGGAGAAGAACCTGCAAAAGAGTTAATTTCAATTTGGTCATCCCTTGAAACTAGCATCATAGATCCCTTCTTTCCAGATTAAAGCTAACCAGAGTAAAGACTATACAAAATTCATTAATTATTAAAAGCACAGAGGGAAAATGATGATTATACATTACTGATTGAAAATGACTTTTCGTTGTGATAAAACATAAAATCAGTTAAGCACCTATGGTATAAATCCATATATGTAGCCACTTCGTCAAGCTCATATGTTTCCAATTGTTTCAGGGTGATTTCAAAAAGGGAAAACATCATGACACCGAAATGAACGACCTGCTTCCTTTGAACAAAGTAATGAAAGAACAGCTGGCGGTTCTTAAAGAGATCAACCGTCGACACGCAGAGAAGGATGAAGCCGCAGCCCTTGAGGACGAGTGGAAGAAAGTGGCAGTCGTGATGGACAGATTATGCCTTGTCTTGTTCTTCACTTTGTCTGTGCTTTGTACTTTAGGTATTTTGCTGCAGTGCATTGTTGCAAGTGGATAAGTTTATGACAAACTCGCTGACAGTATGTAAGTGAGTTGGATTGAACGCCGCTTTGAACAGTTTTCCAGTTATATCACGGCGTGAAAGCTTAAAGGGACACAGATCTCAATTTCCTCAATTCTCTGGTACGTGATGTTGCCTTTGTTATTTTTTTACGTGGATAATATTCCAGAAATTTCGACTAAATCGCAAAATGTGCCGCGCCAGTCGCAAGTGCATTTGTTGTTTTTTTCAATGTATATCGCCACATTTATCAACAAAGTGAAATGCAGTTTTTTCTTGGAATTAGGAATGGCAGGCATCTTTGGGGGTCGCATCGGTAATGGTTACGAAGTTTTGATAATTCACTTTCTTGGTATTCTGCGATTGTCGCTTACACTATTTTTACTTGTAACACTAACAAATGATTTCACATGAGCATTGCTCATTATATTGTGTGTATATGTTCCAGTCAAACAACTTAAAAAATGAAAATTATTTTAAATCGAGAGACACTGAGAGACCAAAACCAAATTTAATGTACATTTGGAGATGCCATGTGTCTTTGTAACAATCTAATAATTTAAAATATATGTTTATAACGTTTCGGGACATTTTAATTCGTGTTGGTTTCTTATCTAGTTACAGAAGTTAGTTTCAGGTGTTTCACATAGGTGTCCAGTCCCATTGGCCAACTGAGAGAACGTGATTGGCCCACGTGACAACTACTTTCATGAGTTCCACGGTTCTTTAAAAGCATTCACTGAGTTAGATAACAACGAGCAAGTATGTTGGTTTTGGCACTTCACGCCGAGATATGGGTGTATTCCGTATGCTTTAGTAAATCTGCATATATACACATGGAAATTAGTTAAGCAACACCCGCATATTCTCAGACCGGGCAACTTTAATGAACTAGTTCAGGAAATGTGTAAAGGATTTCGATACCAAATAAATTATTTAGTGAAAAGAAAGGGTTTAGGAGGAACATAGCCAAGACTACCATCAAATAATGTGGGGTTTTTTTTAGATGTTACAGATTTGGAAAATGACTTAATTTCATCCAAAAATGCTGTACCACTGGACTACGGAGGCAGTATATATATATATATATAACCAGTGGTAGAGCGTCTGCCCGGAGAGCGGAAGGTCCGGGGTTCGATCCCCGGCCACGTAATACCAAAAGACGTTAAAAGATGGTACTTCTTGTTACCCGCTCTGCATTAAGGGGCTCAAACAAGGACTCGTCAGCTCGGAGTCAGTATACTATGCCTGGATTGGGGATTCATGTTAAACCGCGGCACGGTATCTCAGAGAGCTAGCATTATACATAGGCTTATCCCTATCTCTCCGTCTTCTGAGCCATAGTTAAAAAGTGAAACTACTTCCAAGTGGGCAGGTTCATTGATAACAAGCTCTTGTGTGTGGGCTCCAATCGCCTCTAGTTTTGTTTGACTGCAGCCTACACACCAATAGTCTTCTGAATGGGTGTTATAAGACTGTAGGCCAAATAAGCTACGGTCTGTATAACATCACCAGGAGGCAACCGCACAGCATTATTTGTGTATTCCATTGTGATGTTTTAGAGTATTGTGATTTGTTTCATAGAAAGAATATGTTTGGGGCTATTTCAATAACTCTAAGCAGAGTGATTGATTGTATGTTGCTTTGCGCAGCTTTCAGCAATATCACGGCTCTGAACGGCAGAAATGGGCCTCGCACAATGTACCCTTCTGAGTAATCGAACCCGGGTCTTCGGTGTGACGAGCGGACGCTTTAACCACTATTCTACCCAACCGCCCTAACTCAAAGCAGAAGAAATCATAGCAATGTTATAACCATGAATGACATATAATAAACTGAAAAGGAGAAATTTACAATTAACATTTCCCCCCATCATCCATACAAATTCAACATATACACCACATTTAAACAAACATACAATAACATAGCTGTCCACCAATTGCAGGTATTAAAAAAGTACCAATCATTCCATCTCAATATCCAAACCACCATGAGTGTATACATTATATAGCATTCATATCAAGATGGTAGATGTATGCAAAATGTTCTAATTTCATTTTTCAATCTTACTTAACAGTTATACAATAAATCGGGCTATAACGTTACACAAGTTGAGTAATGTATACACAGATTTTGGCCAGATACATTTATTTGGAATTAAATCGATTCTTTGTTGAAAAGAATTTCACGTCTACATTTGAAACGCGGGATGTATTCCGAGCTGATACCTTTTAACTCACGCCCGATCGATGACAAAAAAAGAATCTTTTGAAATTTCATTCATTTAAATGCTTTATCTAACGTTTAATTCCTTTAGTGTTATATTAGACTACGTGTACACGTACACATGTACTCCAACGATCTAGTAAAGATATAACGAAACTCCAACTGGGGTAGAATTACAATGTCACAGACAGATCTTATGTGTGCATAGTGCGTGTAAACCGCTCCATGCGTATCTTAATTGGAGACTTTTAGAGCATAACATTGAACAAGTTGAGGTACAAGAAGGGGAACAGAGACATTATACATCTGGCGTTCTGTGAGAGGGGACCTTTTGGAAGCTGCACTGAAATGGCGCTTGTAGGATTTGTCATATTCGTTGGAATGTTAGGTAAGTGAAAGGCTGTTCTGGAGCTGTATATGATGAGGTATATATATATACATCACTGCTTGAAAAGCTTGACCCGTTCGGGTTTGGAAATACATATAAATGCACAAATTTACATCAATTCTAACCATATAACGTCAACGCCAGACAAGAACCAGTCTGACGAAACAGATCTAGTGATAAAATTGATTGAAGTTATTGTCGAATCGCCATATAGACCACCTGGATTCTTAATGCGCCAAAATGTCACGAGAGAGTTATTTACGTGTCCCGCGTTGCATTTGTCATCGTTAATAAAATAATAAAACTACTGGTTAGATACATATAAAATACAAGATAAATACACAAATAAATTAGTATAATATATATATTGTGATCCTTGTATCCTATAATATTGTAGTACATGTATGGAATCAAGTCACAAAAACGCAACTGCTACAGAAAAGCATGCATGCCATGCAAAAGTTGACTTTTATCCAAGCCCCATACATTTCACTACCCAAGAATGTGTATAAAAACATGTGCGTTAACGGGTTTCCATATGCATTGTTTAGCATCGTGCTGACAACAACCACTCAGAACAACAACGAAATGACGCAATTATCCACCATTACGAAATGCCACGCCTGTCCGAAAATGAGAGTCTGCGAGCCATTGGTATGCTTGAAGCAGGATCGAGTCAAGGTGATGTTGCAAGACAATTTAACGTCCACAGAAACACCATTTGGTGTTTATGGCAACGTTGGCAACATACGAATGCAGTCAGAGACCATCCTCGGAGTGGCAGGCCACGCGTAACCAATAATCGACAAGACAACTGGATTCGAACCAGCCAGCAACAGTGACTACAAGAAGCATCCCTGGGCTTCGACGAATATGTCACAAATCGTACGTCGTCGCCTCAGATGTGCAGGGATTGTCGCCAAAAGACCCGCCAGACGTCCCATTTTGACAGGAAACCACCGTCACCATTTGGTATTTATGGCAACGTTAGCAACAGATGAATACAGTCAGAGACCATCCTCGGAGTGGCAGGCCACTCGTAACCAATAATCGACAAGACAATTGGATTCGAACAACACACCTACGAAATCGATTCCAGCCAGCAACAGTGACTGCAAGACGAATATCTTCACAAACCGTACGTCGTCGCCTCAGATGTGCAGGGATTGTCGCCAGAAGACCCGCCAGAAGACCCGCCAGACGTCCCATTTGGACAGGAAACCACCGTCAAGCACGTCTACAGTGGTGCAGACAGCGTCTACGCTGGACGACCATGCAGTGGGGACAAGTTCTATTCACTGACGAGTCTCGTTTTCACAGCGATGGACGGATTCGAGTGTACCGACGTCGAGGTGAACTTTACGTCAATCAATGTGTCATGGAAGAAGATCGGTTCGGGGGCGGCAGCGTTATGGTATGGAGTGAGATAACAGCAACACAGAGGACCCGTTTGATAGTGGTAGAGGGAAAACTCAATGGACAGCGCTACCGCGACGAGATCATCGGCCCTGTTGTTCTACCGTGTTTGCGTCGTCATGGCCCAGACATTACATTTCAACATGACAACGCCCGGCCCCATATTGCTCGACTTGTTCAGGATTCTCTTCAACAAAACAACGTGAATGTCATCCCATGGCCGGCTCGCTCCCCTGATCTCTCACAAATCGATCACATGTGGGATGATATGGATTGGCACCTTCGACGTCAACCACGTGTTCAACAGACACGCCAGGAACTTTGAAACATGCTTAAGCAGATATGGACCGATATCCCACAGGCCTTTGTGCGACGCCGGGTCCATTCCATGAGACGAAGGTGTGTTGCTTGCATTGCAACCAGAGGTCGACACACACGCTATTGATTTGTAAATTGACATTTTGGCATGTTCAATTTTTTTTTTATGAAATCACGCATTTTCTGCAAGTCAGTATGGCAAATTTAACCATTTGAACACTTACAGGAATCTTTTATCTGTTGCAAACCGAAATTGTTTCAGATTTGGTAAAAAAACACAACTTTGCATTGAATCTTATTCAATGTCACAGGAACTTTTGTTGTTCAGTATATATACAACTAAACAATCAGTGTATACAGAAAAATGATCAATAGTTGCGTTATGTGCTGCATGTAGTCACGACATTTTTTTTCTTTTATACATTTATAACAATGTTCTAGATAAAATGTCACAATTAAAAGGACTGAAATAAAAACGTTCTTCCCATTTTCAACAATGCGGACATTAGACATACCGAAACAATGTGGGTATATTCTAGCATTTAAAGGGTTTGGTGATTTACTATCACGACCGGTTTTCACTGCAATGGGAAGGGAACCACATCTATACAGGGCTAAAACTCGGCTTCTTGTTGTTTGTTTGTTGTTTAACGCTTCACTCAGCAATATTCCAGATATATGGCGGCGGTCTGGAAATAATCGAGTCTAAACCAGACAATCCAGTAATTGACATCATGTGCATCGGCCCGCGCAATGATTGGGATACGATAGCCAGCATTAACTAAGTCGGCGAGCCTGACCACCCTATCCCGTTTGTCGCCTCTTACAACAAGCATTGTCGCCGTTTATCTATTCAACATCGGATCTTCACGGGTCCTAAGACTCGGCGCTGGTCGGGGGCACGGGTGGCCCAGTCGTCTAAGGCGGCTCTTGGGCACGCTAGAAACCTATGATTGTGGGTTCGAATCCCGGTTCGCCCTGATTATGTTTCTAGGTTTGTCAGCACCATACCCGTGCTCGTGGGTTTCACCGAAGTGGTAGACGTCTGAGACCTGCATCACTTCGGGCTTTCCTCCCACATTAAGCTGACACGCCGCGATATTACTGTAATACTGTTAAAAGCGGCGTTAAACCCTACTCGGCGCTGGTCTCGAAACCGTACATTTTATAATATATAGTTCCACTGTAACAATCAACATATTGCAATGCACTTTATTTTTATTGTTGCTGTTTATTGATAATGCCAACCTTTACACACAGAGAGAGAGAGAGAGAATAGAGAATGATGTTTATTATAGTGTCACATGTTATATACACTTCATACTAAAACACGTACACAAACAATAAAATATAATATCCGACCAGGTATGGTCTACGAGACACAAGCCATACAGGTATATGTATAACGTCATGATCTGGATAACGTAACATATGTCATATACTAACACAATGTTTGAAGTTAAGATTGGGTTATAAACACGCACGCACACACCCACATGCACACGCACACACACACGCCAAATTACTTATAAAGTCACGCACACCATCATACACAAACACGTAGACACCCACACAAGCCCCCCCCCCCCCCCCCCCCCCCCCACACACACACACGCATGCACGCACGCACACACACACACCATACGTACATTATACCACACACACACACACACACGCATGCACGCACGCACACGCACGCACACACACACACACACACCATACGTACATTCTATCCCACACACACACAAACACACACACCATACGTGCATTATACGTTTATGGATATAATAGACATAGGGCTCAGGCGCTAGATACTTCTTAAGCAATCTATAGGTCCTCGGCTTATTACCATTAGGGTTATTAGCATCATTCCACAGCTCTGAAAACCAAGCAGTTTCATCCACTTGAAATAATTTTGCTTAATGAGAGTGAACTGACCACGTGTCATCGAATGGACATCGATCAAGTCGAGGACTTTTAAGTTTCTAGACAGCTTGTAAACCTCCTTTTCCCATGAGCGCCCTCTTTTTGCTTGGATGACACGGGGCAATCTTGTAATGTCCATACTGTTAAGGCGGAAGAAAAAACGAAATACTTGTATGCGTTGCTAAGTGACACATGTTTTCCAACCCATGTCTCCCCTGGCGGCAACATTTGACACATTACGTTTAAGGCCGAGGAAATATTTACATGCTTTGTTTTGCACTTTTTTATGTTCATACACCCCACAGATGGAAGCACCATATTGCATAATAGGCTGAACCAAAGATTCATACAATTTAGTATAAACTGCGTAAGTAAAACTACCAGCATCAAAATATTTTGTACATAAAACACCAAAAGCTCGACTTGCCGATTTAGTCAGTTAATTAATTGGGAACTTAAAGTCCATGTGTTCGTTGAGCCACAAACCAAGATATTTATAATTGTTACTATAATTCAAAAGAGTTTCACCAATTAAAAAGTTGGTTGTTAAGCAATTTGTATTGGCAGGCCTAAAATGAACAATCTTAATTTTTGTGGGATTAACTGCAAGTCTCCACTTTTGACACCATTCATTGACCACGTTTAACATAGTTTGCAGTTTATCCTCCGTGGGCGCCAATAATAAAATATCATCAGCATATAACATAATACCAATATTTAAATCATTTACGTCAACACGACAGTTCATGCTTTTCTTATTGGCCGCCAGGTCGTTAATGTAAATAGAGAACAATAATGGAGAGACAAGGCACCCTTGCCTTAGTCCCCGTGAGGCCTTAAAAACCAGGGTGAAAGCAAACCATTTACTCTCACATCGCACTTCACATTGCTGCATAAACTTTTAACAGCTTCAAACATTTTTGGGGGGTTTATGCCATTTTTTAATATTTTAAACCATAAACAATCTCTGTTTACATTATCGAACGCCTTTTCATGTCAATAAATGTTGATAATGTTGATTGTTTTCTATTTTTGATTATTGTACAAATGCTGTAGAGGTGATCCAAACAGCTCGTTTTTTCTGAAGCCATTGCTCCTCAGCTAAAATATTATTTCTTTCGCATCACTCACTCAATCTCGCATTTAAAATGTCACAATAGTCATTATTTTAAACAATATGTCAACGCAGACAGGATTTTTCAGACAATCAGCAGGAAGATTATCTGTACCCGCCGCCTTTCTGGATTTAGCACGCTCTATTGCTTTCTCTACTTCCGCCAACGATATAGAGACGTTCAAGGGATCACATAAACATGGATTGTTGCGACGCTTCATATCGT